GGGGTGTTGTGCTGACTGAGTGCTCTGTTCTCCTATTGGCTGTAATTTGGTGGATTTACATTTCAGTCCACCAATCAAAGATAAGTAAGGGATTGCTGGACGTATGCAATATGTACACCACGATCAAGCCCCTTGGGGCGCCACCGCACCTGGGAGGGCCCCTGAGGTTACCGGCGCCGCTGGGAGTGCCCCTGGGGATGCCACCGACTTGTGCGGGCCCTTAGGGCCTCCACAACCTCTAGCAGGGTCCCTGGAGGCGCCACCGGCTTTCTGTGGCCCCTAGATTCGCCACCGCCGTTTAAACCCCTGACACTCCTGCGAGAACCCCTGGGGGCACCACAACCAGTGGGTGGGACTCTGAGAGCGCTGGCACCCCATAGAGGGTCCCTGGGGGCGCCTCCGCCCCTGGGAAGGACCACTACCAAACAAAAATCTACAACCAGAATAACAGTAAATACGATTCACGACCAGTACAACCACGACTACTACTACTACTACTACCACAACTACGAACGCTATAACCACGACCAACAAAAACTACGACCACAATGACAATAAATATGACCACCACAATCACGACCATCTCGGCCACTATCAACAGGGTTACGACCGCCACACCAACGCTTATTTCATTCACCTCCTCTGTTCTTTGTTGTGTCCTGTCTACCTGGTAATTAATTAATCTCTAAAACGTTTCACCTGTTAATTTACCTTTAATTTTAATTCATTGTTTTTGCATTTTCCTCGTGTAATTAGTTTTCATTCTTTATCTTTACTTGTCTATTTCATTTGCCTCTATTCCCTTGTGCATCTATTTATAAGTATCCATTGTTAATTAATTATTCCTCCCCATGGTAAAATTAATTGTTCATCTTCCTTTCATATCTAATTATTGTTATCCATATGGCATTAATTCTCCTCTTTATAAATTATTCTTCGTGTTTGCAATTCTTCTCTTGGTTTTCATTAAATCTCTCCCTTGCATAATTAATTCTCTCGTTGCCATTCATTAAGAACTCTTGTTATTCCATGCACAGTTAATTATTCTCACCTGTACAATTAATCTTGTTTTTTAATTTGTGTAACTAATTTTTCGTATCCCTTACATAACCTACTAATTCTTGATTCTCGTATATTTAATTTGTTATTCCCTTGGGTATTTAATTTATCGTAATGTGTGTGTGTGTGTGTGTGTGTGTTCATGATAGTGGAAACAAGTGTTCCTTTCTACACCCTCAAACAATATCCCCCTCCACACGTACAAACACACAGCAGCCTCAGCAAAGGGCATATGCACACAGAAAGCTCAACAAAGGAGGTGTGTTTAACTTAAAGCAACACAGAAATAGACCGGGGGGGCATCTCACACCACCCACAGCACTAGACGTGTATTAAGCAACTCACAGCACATGATATTAAACGTCTAACCCAGCCACAGAACACGGCAACAGACGTCTAAGTAATGAACAGCACAGAACCCCAGCAACTAACCCATAACACACAACAACAAACATATAACCAACCCACAGCACTCAAACCACAGCCCACAGAAAGAGACCTTTAACCCAACCCACACCACACACACCGGGAGGGGGGGGGGGCGTTAGTATGGGCAATAAACAGACGAGTCTAGCGCGATACTGAGCCTATATACGCGTTCCCTCCGCTCCGCCCGGCAGATCAGTCTCACCCTGACGATTTGTAGGGACTAAGGAAGGGTGGGTGAGGGGGTGGGTGAGGGGGTGGGTGGGTGAAAATCCTGAGCGTGTAGTAGTAGTAGTTGGTTTGCAGAGCGCCGCTGTTAATGCACCTTTTGGCAGCAGTAATTGGATGTTGTTGGTTTACCGAACGAGAACAATGGCGTCTGTTTATGTCTCGTAATTCACTCTGACATCGCCAGACTCTGCCCGTGAGTTTCATTACGTGTGTTGTTTATTAAGTTATCAGGGAAGAGTTCAGTGGTTGGTCTCCCTGTCCTCAAGATTACACGGTGGGTCCTATTTTGGGTAATTTCAGGCAGGAAGTGTGTTGCTGGTTTTCATTCGTTACAAAGATGGAAGAAAGATGGAAATTTTGGGTCAGCGTGAATACCGAGCATAAAGCCGAGATGTTTGGATAGACTGGTAGAGTGGGGGGGGAGGGAGGTGAGTAAACGAAAGGTACAGTTCATTAGACAGAAAGTTATTAACTGAAACAGGACATTACTGACGTAGGAACCATTGAGACAAGAGTGTAGAATGATGAAACAGTAACTAAAAATGATTTGCTGAAACAGAGAGACGAATGGATAAATAACATACTCGATAAAAAAGGAGACACGGTGGAAGATAAGAGAGAAACGAAAAAAAAATGAATTACACTGATTAAAAAAATAAAACCCTCACAGACCGCAACTGTTTCCTCTTTACGGCAAACCCAACTCGTAAAGGAACCATTGTCACCTAAAGGACGGTCTAGCTACAGTATAACTTGCCCCTGTTGAAGGTATCGAACTTGGTGTTTTGTATTCTGATGTACCGTATATAATGTTAAGGAGTGCTACTTTAAACTTGATATCGTGTGTAATGTGAGTAGGACAAGCATCACATTCTGAACCGCGCTAACAGCTCAAACCATAATCAACAGTACAGTATCTTAACTACCTAACCACTTAAATATATTGTGTTCATGAGCAGAGGTTTGGTGTTACTGATTTTTTTCCTGCCGACAGTATCTAGTTTATTGTGCACCCCATACGTATCCTGTGAGTGGCAGAACGTAAAGGATAACAAAGTAGATGTCACAAAGGGTGTTTATCAGACCCAAGAAGTCAGGATATCGTGGCGTTGGATGTTATAAAATATTTCCAGCACATTGTTTAGTTCTGTACGTTAGAGTTAAGATTGTATTCAATCATATATTTATTAGACGCGAGGTTAGTTAGGGCATCAACTCTATCATGTTCACTAAGGTCTATCTGAGAGGGGATCCACAGCAGCTTGATCCTGACACCCTCGTCAATAAGGCACTTACGTTTGTGTCTGGCTTGAGAGACAAGAGGGCAACAATCTGAGTTGAGAGCATCAAGAGCAAGTAGTGAGGATAAGGTGTCAGTGATGATGAGACTGTCAGTGACAGCACTTCCAGCCCTCCTACAGACAGTGTTAACAGATCCGTCAGTGGAGATGGTCTGTGTGATGTTATTTTCTGTCTGTAAAGGCCCGTCCACACGATCGAGCAGTACCCGGCGGGCACGCGCTAAATGCCCGTTATCGGGCAAAATTGGCGGGCAAACCAGGGGAGTGCCCGTGCCCATCGTTGAGCGAAATCATGGTCCGCCTGCCTGGTGGTTTGCTGCCGGATATGGAGCGACGACTGTGCCAGACAAACGAAGTTGACCCTGGGACTACATACGTTGGGGTGTATGTAATTATTGTGTGAAATAAAGTTTGCCTCTATACAAGTTGTGTCAATCATCAATATCTTATTTGCAAACAACCTAGTGACCCAAACAGGTCCATCATGTGTCACATGTGTATGGCAGGGTTACCCCCTTCACTAATACTAATATGTTTTAATATTATTTTCATTATTATTAATCGATAAAACCGGAAAACCGACATTCCTATAATATTGTCATTAATATCCAACATTACACAAGTCTGCAATACAAGACACGTGTTATTATTGGAACCTCACGTGACTGTCAAAAACAGCTGATCACTACGCCACCGCTGACCTCGGGGGTCGGGGTCCTCAAGTCGGTGAGGTATGAACAGACACTGACAGAACGTATGCTAGCACTTTGTAAAACCTGAGTTAAGTACTGCAAATGTGATACGTCTATGTTCCCCGCTCGGTCCAGATGTCCAGTGTATAACCAAATAAGCTTATACAATGTACATTATTGGCGTGACAATAAACGGGAGATCGTTTATGTATTATGTAATGAGGACATTCGTGTGTGTTCTTCGTTCCTCACTCTAGTCCCATAGCTTCCTGCCTATGCATATCACAATTCTAACATTATTCAATGAATTTTTATGTACTACAAATCTCACCTGCAAGTAATCTTCCTTGAGTACTTCATACAAGGCTTGACAAGGTGCAGGTATTATGCGAGTGAAGTCCTGCTCATGTCCATCTTGCAGTTCACGTAAAATCGTGGCATGACTTCCCAACACTTTTCTTCGACCTAACCACTCTTTGCACCATTCCCTTTTCTGCATTTGGTTCTTCTTTTTTACACATAGCAGCAATTATTATAGTACACAACGCTATGCTCTTCGCTTTAACTATCCGGTGATTATTCCTGCGACACACCATGGTGATCGTACCGCACCCGCCACTGCCGACCACCTACTAGCTACCGGTGCCCGACTATGACTGCCGCCAACCACCCCCGTGTGTATAACAACACACAGGACTCCGGTAAACGGGCAAAACCCGCCGGGCACTGTTCGATCTTGTGAACGGGGCTTAAGTTATGTACAGTATGTGTTCAAGAGCTCTCACTTTAGCAGTGTGTTGGAAATAAAGATTGTGTGTTGTCAGTCGTTAAGGCGAGTATGTGAGTGTTGTGATGACTAAGAGAACTGTCTGCCAGGGTGGTAGGAGAGGTACAGATTATCTAGTCCAAACATTTTTATTATGTGTAACAGTAGTTTGGATAAATTTAGGGTCACCAGTTCCATGTACTGTATGACTCATTATGCTCTAGCAGTTTATGAACACAAAGTTGTCTGGATCACCACACAGGAGCCTGAGTGGAGGATCCGTGTTCTGTATTTTGTAAGTTCATCTTTTTATTTTTGTATTTAGAATTTTCGCTTTAATTGCTTTTACTTTTTGGGAATTAATCTTTTATTTTACTTTTTGGGGATATTGTATAATTGTTCTTTATATTTCAGACAATTTATATATTTGTCTTCTCTAACTTGTATTTGAGTCAATTATCTGCATATTTTCTTTACACCAACAAAACAAAACACTAGAGAGAAGGATTTAATGAAACACAGAGGTGAAAAAATACAATATTAGTATTAATGGTTACTATGTACATGCTATACAAATTTACATTCACAGATATAAAATACACACAGGTTATACATTATTTTTTCTTAATTTGGTCGTACAAGGAAAAAAAAAAGTGCCCGAGACATGACACACACACACATACACACAGACAGACATACACGCACACACTTCCACAACACCTACTCCATTATGTCTTTCTCTCGTGTCATGTCATGTCATGTCTTAAACACCAACACCATCATTATTTTATTTATGTCTGCGAGAGGTTATATAGAGGCATCCAAGACGATATTTTTTTTTCCCAAGGACACATTACGTTTATTCAGATCCACTACAAGTCCTAAAGAGAGGCTTCCTAGTCTTTGAAAAAACGGTCCTTCCTTCCTATATTGCAACAGGTTAATTCAGATCTTCTATAAGTTACAACAGTAGCGTCATCGAGTCTTATAATAAATAATTTAGTTTAATTATCCATCGAATCATACGAAATAATTTAGTCTAATTATGTAAACACGATTTTCTTTTTTAGGGGAAACTTAAAAAAAAAGTCTGAGGTTACGTCTATGGCGACTTGTGAGTGACAGAAGAATTTTTGTCTGTAAATATTTTCTTGTTTCTACTGATGGGTGATGGGAGGAAGAGACAATGAATGTTTAGTAATGAGAACGAAAAGAAAAATGATGATTGTGAAAGTTACAGCTAGATAATTTATGGTAATGTGAAGAAAACTAATAAAAATAAGACTCAAAACAAACGTGATGATGATAATGATGGCGAAGAAATGTAAAATAAAAGTTAATGAGGAAAATGTTAAGAATTAAGGGGAAATAATAAGAATGAAAGGAAGGGAATGAGTGACAGAACAGATAGTAACGAGGAAATGAAAAATATATATATATAAAATAACTTGGAGGATATTAAGAACTAGGAAACGACTAGAAGAATTTAGGAGTAAGACAGCATCACAATAAAGAAGAAAGGAAGTAATAGAGAAGAAAGAAGAACAAGGAGTAAACAAAAGACACTAATACTCTCCAGGAAAGACAAATAACTGAAGAAAAACCCGAAGAAAATTTAACACTGGAGGAACGAAAGGCATTTGAAGCGACAACAGAAAAATACAATGAAACGCAAAGGGAACAAATTTAAGAAGGAAGGAAGTATTAAATAAAAGTAAAAAAAGATGAAAGAAAGAGACTAAAACATTGAAAACAGATGACGATAATGATAAGAATAAGAACGTAAGGCAATAAGGAACCAGCTTATCTTTTATCACGTATCTCTCTCTCCCTTCATCTTTAAGACATGACTTGCCACATACTATCTTCTCCCGTCTAGAAATACTCAAAAGAAAAACATTACACAACACTCAACGGCTGCAGAACACACCACCATCCTCACGGAGAACACTGGACTTTTGACTAAACATCTTGATAATTTAGGAACGCAATGAGTTATGTTAAGAAGTGTGAGTGAGTGAGACGAGTGTGGTCGGCATAACCAAAATATTAACGCGTGTGTGTGTGTGGTCGAGAGACAGGCTTGATGGAATGACGGTAGACAGGGTGTAAATGGAGGGGAAAGTGTACTGAGTGTAGATTGGTTAAACAGAGAGAGAGAGAGGACTGGGGGTGACTATCGGTCGGCTGGAATGACTGTCAACTGTGTGAAAATGGATGGAACTGGACTGACTGTAGATTAGCTGACAGGGGAGCACCGGGGTGACTGTAGGCCTGCTGACGGGGAGACTGGAATGACTGTGGGACAATCGAAGGAAGTTATTCTGATTTCAGATAACTGAATTGACTGTAAACTGACTGGAGGGGGGGGGATGGGCTGACAGTGTTGTGCCTAATGGGAGAGACGGATTTAAACTTCCTCACATACATACATACATACATACATACATACATACATACATACATACATACAATCCCTAACGCTGTATGTTTATGCTGACACTTTAAGTCCTTAGCATCCTGTGAGTCTGACACACACACACACACACACACACACACACACACACACACACACACACACACACACACACACACACACACACACACACACTTGTCTCTTGGGTTGTACATACTTCCAGTAAACCTTCCCACATTGACAAGATAAATTAAAGTGTCCTCAGAAGCAGCAACATTTTTCACTCAATTATCACTACGTTACAGTACTCACGACGGGAGATAATGACGATGGTGCTCCTGGTTTGTGTCAGTCACTCACACAGGACGCTGAAGAGACACTTACTATTGTTATTTTTTGGAAAGTGATGGAAAAGGAACGAACCCACAGGAGTGTTTGAGATGATTTACTGTTGCTGTATGTATAGATCTTTCCCTCCCCCTCCCTCCCAACCCACACAAACGAAAGACACACTTGCATGGCTACACACTGGAACATTTAAAGAGGTAGTGGAGACTTTGTCCACGAGTTTAAGAGTTAAAAACTACGATCATCAAGGCAGGTGTTCCAAGTTCCTCCTCCTTCCATACTGTTTTACTCACTCCAAGAACTACTCTCCAGTTCTACATTGTTTACTGCAAGAATACTCCACCTTCACCCAGTTAACATCCTTCAAGAACCCTCCACCATTACAATGTTCACTGCAAGAATTTCCCAGCCTCGTTTACTCCCTCCAATAAACTCCACATCCCCCTCCATTCATCCCTACACGGTTTACTTACTCCAGGATCTTACTCCAAGAGAGAGAGTCACTTGTTCTCTACAGGCGAGGAGTGTTGTCGAAACTCTCCACTGATTTTTTTAAACGCAAGTTGTTTCCCGACCCCTAACACAGATTGACTTATACAGAGAAAATCTGGCCTCCAGGTGACTGTGTCCTGCCTGAAAATCCAATCAGCTGGTAGAGGTCTAATCAGCTGGTAGAGGTTTAATCATCTGGTAGAGGTCTAATCAGTTGGTGTAGATCCAATCAGCTGGTAGAGGTCTAATCAGCTGGTAAAGGTCTAATCAGTTAGTGTAGATTCAATCAGATGGTAGAAGTATAATCAGATGGTACTAATCCAGCAGGTGGTATTGGCTCACTCAGGTAATAGGGACTTCATTAGTGGGACAGATTGAGCCAGCTGGTACACTCCAATCAGGAAATACAAGCCTAATCAGCTGGTGTAGATTGAATCACTTAATACAGATATAATAAGGTAACACATATGTCTAACTCAGCGAACACTGATCCGATCAATTGGTACTATATGTTGTTATAGTACACAGTGCACATGTTACAGTGCTCAGTTCATAGGTTACATCAGTCAGTGCACGTTACAGAATTTATAGCACATGTTACAATACTCAGTGCATATCTTATAGTACTCAGTGTATGTTACAGTACTCATGGTATATGTTATAGTAATTACAATGGAAAGACATGTTACTTAAGGTCCCTCTATTAGCATAAATACAAGAAATACCAACTCTATACACACTGGTGTTTGTACTCAACATAAGTACTCATACCCATAGAGTACTCCTGAGTACAGATCTTATGTGTGAATACAAACACCGTATGGTTCAAGTCAACATGTTACTGACCAACATTATACATGGTGGAGTACAAATACCTGTCCCATATCTATTATTTTACATGGTGGATCACACACCTGTCCCATATCTAATATTATGCATGGTGGATAACACAACTGTCCCACACTACCTGTACAACACACTGTCTGCCTGGTGTAGGGTATAAAGTCACTTGCACTGTGAGGCAAAAAAAATAAAATAAATAAAAAACTCTCTAAATGTTTGTAAGGTACAGTATTACTAAATAAACTCTATCACATTAGCTCAAGACGACATGTTAGTGTGTGTGTTTTCTCAAAACTGGGTTGAATTTCAAGCTAAGACGAGGGTAAACTAGTGACTGCATTATATTAAAAGGGAACTGGTTTATTTTTATATTTTTTTGTGTTTTTTTTAAATTTCATTACATAGTGCTTAATCTTGGAAGCTCTCAACTTGCTTGTTTATTTTTAAAGAGGCACATTGTCCCGTCTCGAAGGAGGAGTACTTACGTTCATCTATGTTGCAGGAGTATCATGCTAGCTACGGCGGCCTCCACCCCTCCCTCCCCGCATTTAAGGGATTTAAAGATGGTCAACTCAATGCACGTCACATCTGCATAACACTACAGTAGACCTTGGCCAACAGTTTTGACCCTATTGCTTCAGAGCGGAGGAGACGAGGAGCGGCCCTGACGCTACCGTCTACAGCGTCCCTCAAACCCTTAATCCTCCCGTATTATAAAACACACATCTGCTCCCGCCTGCCCATCAACGGTCCAGCGTCACGAGGAAGATTTCAGGTTTTAATTCGTATGATATTCATGTGGGATCCTTAGGAGATTGGTTTCTAAATTCCCATCAGTCCATCAAGAAAATTATAAGGCAAGGGTTTCGTTTCACTATTTACCAAGTAGATTTTTGCATATAATTTTGATCGCTTTAAGATTCAGTTAGTTTCTAGTGAGTTTAATTGGTTATTTTTCCGGGTAGAGTCTGGCGGTGAACAGCTGGTGGCGGAGAACAACAGTGTGATAGAATAATTGGGAGGGTTAAGGGTGAGACACTGCCCCCGGGGACACAGTGACCGCCCCTCGTAGTGATTCGTCAACTGATGAGTTAGTTGTCTATGCAACAGAAATGTCTAATCACAGATACTACTATGATGTACAATTTATATATTTATATATATTTATATGTATATAGATATATGGACTGAGTTTTTAACCATACAAATAATCATTAACACGAGAAAAGAACAACAGAAATAACAGGACAACTAAAGTAACACTATTGACGTCAAACATAATGTGACTCACACCAGATAATTTACCTGATGGTTGAGTGTCCTAAAGTCCTAGTTTACTTCGGCTTGTTCTATATCAAGAGACAAGAAAAGAAATTGGAAGAGAATCACATGAAAACTCAAAAAAATACTTTACACTGTTCAGATAACCTATGGCTTCTCAAGTACAATACGTGAAGCTCGGTATACAAACCACCAAGCAACATACACAGTCTGTAAAGTACTCGGTCCAGATTCTGAGAAGTTGGTACCATGAATATTCCCCGTAACTAATGACAAAAGAGTGCAGCTTACTGGTTGAAATCAGCTAAAGCACAAAACTATTCAAAAGCATCATTAGAATTACACAAAAAACTTTACCGAAACTATATACTTTCACTCAGCACCAAGTAATAACATAGGGAATATATCCAAAGTCTCTTAACTTAATTTTGTTCACTAACTGATGCTATAAGTGAATGTAACATGATTAAGGTAAAGTCTTAGTGTAATTCTGACATTGTTTTTAGGTATTATTTTGTGTTTTAAATTAAGTCAACCAATTACAATGCATTCCTATGTTTTTAGTTACAAGGAACATCCGCTGCACGGACGTTTGAGAATCAGGACCCTAGTTCACAATACAAAATTAATCACTCTGTGACAACCATCTACTGACTAAAAAGTGACTCGCCAAAACTCAATTCACTTTTGGTCCTATAAACAAAATATGTTATCTGCGTCATATACATTATAATCTACAACTTGAATTTTGCACAAATTTATAAAAAACGTGAGACTATTCATCACAAATATTTAACTCTCACAGAAAACGTATGAAATGCCCCAAGAAACACATAAAAGCGAAATTTACAAAAAAGAGGCACTGTTAATATAGCAGAGTGGGGGGGTTTTCCTGGTGAGGCTAGATGGGGTGGCAAGGCTTGGTTGGGTTTGTCCAGGGAGCCTCCAGCACCACTCTCCAACCACTCCCCCCACACTCCCTCCCCAAATACACACACTCACACACACACACACAACCACCCACGCACACACCTTCCAACACTCAACACAATAGCCAGGGTCTTTTGCACGTCCCTAAGGCAGGTGAAATCGTCCACAGGTGGATATAAATGCTTAGAGCCACGTCTTTGACAGCATAAAGGGCAAGAGGTGCATCACTCTCCACCTCCGTACATCATCATCGTCTGTCAACAATGATTTTGTTTTTATTTTGTTTTTCACAGCGCGTATTATGTCCTTAAAATGAATACACTTGGGACATATGAGAGGCGAAATAGTCTAGTTTTGTTTTGTTTTTTAAGACAGTTGCTTTGGTCCCTCAGCCATGACTATCGTAAAACCGAGACAGGCACAAGACACTCAGACACACGGTCAACGTCCACTGAGAGAAAGTGACCATAAGGCAGCTGCTACCCGACCCATCTCTATTCTGGTGTGATGTTCGCTCCTGTAACGTGTCGGGGAACTTGTTCGCCAGCTCCTGCTCGAGGTCCCTCTCCATCTCCTGCAGATCCTGTTCCAGTTCAGGATCTGGCACGTTCGGGAGGTCACCGTTCTCTATGCCACCGCTGCCATAGGGATCATTCTCTATCCTCTCTTCGATCACGGGCATATACAAGTCGACGTGATTGAATGTGTCGACGTCGATCCGCTCTATAGTTCTAGAATTGGTCTGGTCATCGAACATCACTTCCTCTTCGTCTTCTTCCTCCTCCTCCTCTTCTACTTCCTCCCCGCCTCCGTGTGAGAGAAGATGGTGGTTCTTCCCGCGGCCATTCTTGTTCTTACGACGCCTATCCTTCCTTCTGCGTCGCCGACAGATGTTCTCCGGTGCCCAAGCCTCCGTGATGTTCGGATACTCGAAGTCTAGTTTCTCCAGCTCCTGAAATAAAGACGATTGAAGGAAGTTAAGGATACGAACCTCATCAAAATCCCTGGTGCTGTAGAACCCAAATAAATCTGGACTCTAAAGTTCTTGGAGAATCTGGCCACTAATAGTTCTAGAACCCAGCAACTAACACTTACAAAACTAGACTCCTAATAGTAAAGTACTTAAAGAACCCGTCTGTGAGCTGAAACATGCAAGCTGAGACAGTGATACAGTGAAACCTCTATTTAACGGACTATATGTGTGATAGCGTAGTCCGTTACATCGAAATCCGTTAAATATGAAATCTCCTTCTAACGGACTATATGAAAGAGGTCAGTCTATCAGATTAAAGTCAGTTATATGGAGGTTGTGCCATATATGAGCTGAGAGTTACTGGTATATGAGCTGAGAGTTACCAGTGAGCTGAGAGTTACCGGTAAGTTAAGTGAGACCTACGGGTATAAGACTCTGGCCACGACTCCAGCAGGTGGGGTTGAAGGTGCCGTTATGGGTCGTCTCCTGGAAGTACTCGAACTGATTCTTCCAGTCGTAGTTCATTAGTCGCCATTCCAGCGTCTTTCCTGCCAGCTCAATAGGTCGATGGATCTTGATAGGATCTGATTTACTGTAAGAAAAATAGAGGAGAGAGAGAGAAGTCAGGTTAAAACAGGGTTGAATTATCTAAGGCACTGAATGTTATCGTAGACACAGTACTGTACAGGGAAATGTTTTATCTTAGAATCTTAGGAACACGTTAGTACAGGAAAATGTTATCTTAGGCACAAATATTATCTTTTGAGTAGTTAACACGAAGACTTCTTTGAATGTTCTGGTAAAACCAGACGGATATATCTATATTTTTGACACAGAAGTTAGCATGTGAATATCTTACGTTGTTATTGAAATTTTATATATAGGTAGAAATTTGAAGAAAATTTTTAATATTCAGGTAGAAATTAACAGAAAAATGTCCATATTGGGCAGTATTTACCCAGGGTGTATATGCATCAGGCCAAAGACAATATACCATTGAGAAGAATGAACTACAGAGCACAACAAAAAAGGTCACAAAGCAAAAGTTTTCGTTGGTGTGAACATCATAGTATCCCCTTCAATCATCGGCCTGATTCCGTTTTTTTTGTTCTCTTTTATTTCTTCCAGTCCTGCCCGTGGTAAGAAGTGACACACACACACACACACACACACACACACACACACACACACACACACACACACACACACACACACACACACACACACACACACACACCACAAAATTGGATCGGCTAAAGGAGTCATTTTTAATGGAATCGTTTCCGGGAGCAGTCGTGCTACAGCTATCCAAAGAGTGTGACAAATGGGAAGACTTGGGCATCAAAAGAGGCCTTTTTGCTCCCGAGAAAATGCAATCAGTTCTACCATGAAGAGAGCGATCGATCCTGACACTGACTACAGGTCAATGGTGTGGAGGTCCCTGACGACGCCTTGTACTGTGACGTGGAGGAGGAAGTAATGATATCTGGAGCAGAGGGTGATAGGGGCTCTCTCTCTCTCAACCTTTCCTCCAACCAACATACATCTTAACAATTTACAAGACGAGGAGAGTTGGGGAGTTCCTACACACATTGGAGCTTCTGCTGACATTTTATCACCGAAAAAATAGAAACATTTCACATTAAGAGAGGATGAGTCGTGATGGGGAGGGAGGGGGAGGAGGGTTGGTCCCAAGGAAGGGCAGACAGGACGCAGTGACTCCCTTCATCCATTGAGCCGTATATCATTCACGTGAAATTCTCTTACAATTCCACTGACATTCAATTTATCGAAATGTGAGACACGATTCCTGCGACCTTGTATATCATATTTTCTATAAGGTGTGGGAGGTATGTGGAGGAGGTGGAGGTATGTGGAGGAGGTGGAGGTATGTGGAGGAGGTGAAGATATGCGGAAGAGGTGGAGGCGTGTAGAAGTAGTTTTGAGATATATGGAGGAGGTGGAGGCATGTGGATGAGGTGGAGGCATGTAGAAGAGGCGGAGATGTGTGGAGGTGTGTGGAGGTACAATACTTACGCGGAGAGCTCGTCAATACCCAGCGAGTGAAGTACTGTGTTGAGTGAAGGCTTGGAGTGACAGAGGGACAGATTCGCCCTCGGCCAATAGAACAGGAACGACAGACACATCTCGTCCCTCGTCTTCAGGCCTCCTAGGGTGATGGTGGACCTCTCCCGGCTGTTGTACACACACTCCCCTATCAGATGATCACCCTGGAGGAGAGAGAGAGAGAGAGGTGGTGTATGAGAGGTTGATTGGGGGTGAGGTAGAGGTTAATTGGAGGTGAGGTAGAGGGTGTGAGTGGGGGAGGGAGAGGGTGTGAGTGGGAGGATGTGAGTGGGAGGGTGTGAGTGGGAGGGGAGGGAGAGGGTGTGAGCAGGAGGGTGGGAGGGGGAGGAAGAGGGTGTGAGTGGGGGAGGGAGAGGGTGTGAGTGGGAGGGTGTGAGTGAGGGAGGGAGAGGGTGTGAGTGGGTAGGATGAAGGAGAGGGCATGAGTGGGGAAGTTGAAGACAAACATATACACGCTTTCTCTCTTTCACACACTAACAAATATATATATACTACTCTCTCTCTCTCTCTCTCTCTCTCTCTTACCGGTAGCACGGACCGGGGAGCCTTGAGGGCCCGGTACTCTTGGTAGTTGAAGTCGTAATTGTTGTCCTGAGCGATGGGCTCCAGCTCCCGCCCCTGCCGCAGGTGCCGCACCCGCACCTTCCTCCCCAGCAGGTGGGTGTGTAGGATGACCGCAAACACGTTGATACCTTCGGCCGAAGGAGAGAGTAATAATAATAATAATAATAATAATAATAATAATAATAATAATAATAATAATAACAATAATAATAATAATAATAATAACAATAATAATAATAATAATAATAATAATAATAATAATAATAATAATAATAATAATAATAATAATAATAATATCATAATGACATAACGATCTCTCTCTCTCTCTCTCTCTCTCTCTCTCTCTCTCTCTCTCTCTCAAACACACAAAGTCGTCAAATAAAACGCCTTCCATTACTAGGGTGGAAGAGGCGATCTTTCAGCCAGCGACTACACGACCAGGAATTATTTATCTCCCCATCTCACACCTCCCCTTACTCTCCCCTCTCCTTTTCCCTTTACTCTCCCGTCTCACTCCTCTACCCCTCTCCCCCTTCCCTTTATCCTCTACTTGTCCTCTTTCCTTCCCTCTCCTCCTCTCCCTTTACTCTCTGCCCTTCCACCCTCTCCCCCAAGTCGCCCCGTGGCTCAGTACAGAAGGTAAATTAGATTACAGGAGGTAGACGATGGACTTAACGTGACGGGGGAAAACGTTAACTCGTCTCCTTAGCAAACAACGCCAGTGCGAGCAGTAAGCAGCGTCTGGCAATCCCGTAATGGTGTGTTAGATGAACGCCTACCAGTTGTTTTCCTACAGTTCATTGTTACTTTTGAGTGAAACGTTCACCAGACAAAACGTTCGCCAGCTTTTCTGTTTCTCTCCTGTGCAATATTACGTTCATGGTAGCTACGACAGACAAACGTTCACCCCCGTACAATACAGTTATGTAACGAAACACCGAAATTATCTGAAAAAAAATCATTTACACGCAAACATATTTCCAAACGTATTTACAAACCTCTTTAAGGACATATTTACAACCTTATTAACACAGAACATCAAAGGTATTTTTCCCCTATATTGATCTGCGTGTTATAATAAAGTTGGGGTAATAATAGTAATTACTCTCATGTAGGGCCAATTACTTACTAGTCCCTGGGGTGACCTGAAAATGACCCCTATTAAGCCTGGTTATGTGAGGTTAGGGGTCTACAGTATATTGGGGCTACGTGGTGTGTTAGTGGTGCTATGGGGTGATAGTGGTGGTGTTAGTGGTGTAATAATGGTGGTTGGGTTAGTGGTGCGTTTCTGTAGGTAATGCTAAGTGAGTGCGTTACTCCACCACCACCACCACCATTAGTCCCTCACCGCACAATACCATTACCACCATTACCATCAACACACCGTGAGTGCGTTACTCCACCACCACCACCACCATTAGTCCCTCACCGCACAATACCATTACCACCATTACCATCAACACACCGCCACCACTACCACCACTTACCACCAACACCATCACCACCACCATTCACCATCACTACCACCACTCACCATCACCACTACCACTCACCATCACCACCACCACTCACCATCACCACCACTACTCACCATCACCACCACCACTCACCATCACCACCACTCATCAACACCCACCTATTAAGTACTCAAGAGACCCCCAACCCAATATGCTATTTTTTTAAGCCAATTTGATCTTGCTGTCAACATCACCGACACACTAATTTGCCTGGACAATGAAAACAATTTGCCTCTTACCATCCACCCTCTGTCTCTCTCTTCCTCCGCCCCCTCTCTTTTCTAGTCTTTATCTCCTTTTCATCTCTTCAACTCCTACTTCTCTCCCCCTCCCTTTTATCTCTCCTTAGTCCTCCTTCATTCTCTCCCTCTTTATCTCTCCATTTCCCGTTTTTTTTAATTGCCTTTATACTGTTATCTTTTTCTCTCCCTCCATCCCTCTTTCCCCCTCCCCCCCCCACCTCCCACCTATGTCTTTAACCTACGTCCCTATCGCCACTCTATCTATTTAGTTATCTATCCATCTATCTATTTATCTCCTCCCTTCTCCCTCCCTCCCTCCCTACCACCAGTCTCTCTCTCTCCCTCTCTCTCTATCACCTCCCCTCCCTCCTTCCCTCACACCATCTATCCTCTCTCTCCTTCCCTTCCCTCCCACCACTTTCACAACACAATTTACTTCCTCATTGCAACACCGTAATTCCTGCTCGTCCGCTGACCGTGTGTAAGGCGCCTCCCACTACCACAAAACTGGGGCTGGTGTATCCCCGAACGCCATCTCTCTTTCACTGTCTCCTCACAATGTCTGTCTTAATGCCTCTCTCATTGTCTCCTCACAATATATATATCTCTCTCTCTCTCTCATTCTCTCTCTTTTCCTGTCTGACTATATGTATCTCAGTGTGTGTGTGTGTGTGTGTGTGTGTGTGTGTGTGTGTGTGTGTGTGTGTGTGTGTCCTCTCATTCTCTATCTGTTTGTTTGTCTCTTACTTTCTGTCTGTATATTTGTTGTCTGCATATGTACTTCTCTGTCTGTCTGTCTGTCTATTAATAATGAATAAAACAATTACTCATCAGCATTAAGTAGTGCGACCTGGTGTACTGATAATAGATAAATTAGCTAAATACCCACCTGTAATGGGTAAACTGGGTACTCACCTGTAGTGGGTAGGGCAGCTTGGGTACACTCGCCCACACAGTGCCCCTCAGACAAGACGGTTCTCTGGCGGGGCGGGATGAGGTGCTTCCAGGTCGGATCCACCCCGATACTCAACACACCTGAGCGAGAAGAAGTTATGTGTCATCTTCAGCCATTAGTGATATCAAACAGCTTTAGGAATACAAAAAAAAGCTTAAAATACGTAAAATACGATTAAAATAAGATTGAAATATATTATTAAGCTGGAAAGTACGTATAATAAGCTTCAGATTCGTCAAACAAGTTGGATAATGTACAGGAAGAGGTAATTGATATGGAGTGCAGCTTTAGGTAGTACCAAAAAGCTTATAATACGTTAAATAAGTTTACAATAAACCAAGCTGGAAAGTACGTATAATAAGCTTCAGATTCGTCAAACAAGTTGGATAATGTACAGGAAGAGGTAATTGATATGGAGTGCCACCCTCAAGTGCCACTCCAGGAAAAATGTATGGAGTGTTACTCTTAAATGCCACTTCATACATGAAAGAAGTGTTGATGTGCGATGCCGTTACTATATTGTGACGCAGCTCAAGGTGTGGTTGAATCACTATCTTGTGTCACTGTTGCGTAGTTCAAGAGTGTGGCTGTTGTGTGCGTTACAAATAGATACGTAACAGAGATGTATAAATGTAATAGACCGTTACTGAGAATTATTGACGTAACGGTAGACTTAATTGCGTCATTGTAACGTAACCCGGGATTGACTGGATTAGTTACGTCACTGCTACATGCAAGACAGGTATAAATCGTAACATTAACTCACCTGCGTCATAGTACCGCAAGTCAGGGGTGTAGATGATGCGGATCCCTGACTCGTCCCTGAAGGCTTGTTTGTTAGGGTTGTCATAGTGGACCTCCATCATGTAGAACTTAGGGCCCTTAGGGGTTAAGGGATACCCAGCCTCAGGGGGTAGAGACAGGCCCTGGGGACGAGAACTTGGCATATTAGTGGTAGTTCTTGACAGTGGTAATGTATGACAGTGGTAGTGAATGACTGTGGTAGTAGAGGGAGGGCAAGATGGTGTAGAGTGTAGAGGGAGGGTAGGAAGGTGTGGAGGGAGGGGAGGGAGGGAGGCAGGGACGGCATGGAGGGAAGGTAGGGAGGTGGGAGGGAGGGGGTAGGAAGGTATGGAGGAGAGGAGGAAGGTAAGTGAAGGAGGAGGAAGGTGTGAAGGAGGGGAGGAAGACAGGTGTGAAGGAGGGAGGAAGGTGAGGACAGCTAGGTGGATTAAGGCAAGATTTGGGGAGGTTATCTGGGGTTTGGCAGAGAGAAGGGTGGGGAGGAGAGGGTGGGGAGGAGAGGATGGGCAAGATGGCACGAAAAGAAATCTAAGAAAATGAGAGAGAAGAAACAGAAGGAAAGACAAAAAGAGACAAAGAAAACAGAGAGAGAGAGAGAGAGAGAGAGAGAGAGAGAGAGAGAGAGAGAGAGGAGAGAGAGAGGAGAGAGAGAGAGAGAGAGAGGGAATGGAGGGGAACTATCTCGACAAAGAGAGAAAGGAGAAGAAATTGAATCTGGGAGAAGTCGGAAGGAAAGCAATGAAGATAATGTGATTGATGAAGACGGAGATAGTCTAGGGAGGTGAGGGTGTGGGTGAGAGGGGAGGAGAGGGGAGTGGTGAGAAGGAGGAGGGGAGATTGGTGAAAGGAGGAGAGGGAGGATGGGATGAAGTGAGAAGGGGTAGATGGAGTGAGGGGGAGTGAGGAGGGGAGGAGAGGTGTGGTGAGGGAGGAGAGGGAAGATAAAATGGAGGAAGAGGTATACTTCAGGAGAGAGAGAGAGAGAGAGAGAGAGAGAGAGAGAGGAGAGAGAGAGAGAGAGAGAGAGAGAGAGAGAGAGAGACTTGTTACCACCCTCGAGCCTCACCCTTCAACCTCACCCCTCGAGCCTCACCTCCAACCTCACCCTCGAGCCTTCACCTCCAGCTCCCCACCCTCGAGCCTCACCCTCCAGCCTCACCCTCGAGCCTCACCCTTTAACCTCACCCACGAGCCTCCTCACCTCCAACCTCACCATCGAGCCAGCACCTCCAACCTCACCATCGAGCTACACCCTCCAACCTCACCCTCGAGCCTCACCCTCCAACCTCACCCTCGAGCCTCACCGTTCAACCTCACCATCGAGCTTAACCTTCCGACCTCACCTTCGAGCTACACAGACCTCACTATCAAGCTCCATCCTCTGACCTCACCCTTGACCCTCCCCCTCACTCAGGTATCACTTGGTCTACGGTTCGAGGAGGACATACAGAGGTAGTTTAACTTTACCCCTTCCCTCCCCTTCCCTTAACTTAACCTTCCCTCCCCTCCCCTTAACTTAAAGACCCATTTTTATAACTTAAAATTTACAGTATTTATCTTTTTTTTCTCTCTCTCCCTCACTCTGTTTCTCTCATTTTTTAAGGAAGAGAGAGAGAGGAGGGGAGGAGGGGGAGTTTTTACCGTTTGCCTTGTTAGCTGCCAGGAGAGAGAGAGAGAGAGAGAGAGAGAGAGAGAGAGAGAGAGAGAGAGAGAGAGAGAGAGAGAGAGAGAGAGAGAGTATCACCTCACCCTTGTCACACTGTGGTTCAGGCATGTATAAAAATAGTGTAATTTTTATTTATTTTTCGTTTCGTTTCGTTTCCTCCTGAATCCTTTTAAGCCTCACGACTTATCACTCTGCTGGTCTAACAAACGACACGAGATCAGAACACGTCCAGGGTCAGATTAGTTTGTGTTTGTTTGTTTGTTTGTTTATATATGTGTGTGTGTGTGTGTGTGTGTGTGTGTGTGTGTGTGTGTGTGTGTGTTTGGGGGGAGGAGAGGAAGGCAAGAGGCTTTAGAATATCGAGTCAATTTATTTTCGCGGTCACAACTGTTCTCATCCAATCGTT